GGAGAGGGAGAGGGAGAGGGAGAGGGAGAGGGAGAGGGAGAGGGAGAGGGAGCACGAGCAACTGAGGAAGAAGAGAGGGAGGAAAAAGGAGGAGCAGAGGCCAGGGCAGGGGCAGGAGGAGTGATGGATGCTACAAGAGCCACAGGAAGCATCTTGTGCTCGCGATGTACCGGAAGACGTGCGTGTCAACAGCAAAGTCCGGGCGCTTGAGATGGAAGAGGAGGACGCAGCTGCTGGGAAAATGAGAACTCGCGACAAGAGGAGAGAGGGCAGGACAAGACAAGCAACGAGCTGTGCGCGACCAGAGGAGCAGCGGAAGGTGAAGAGGAGAGGAGAGGAGAGGAGAGGAGCAGCGGAAGGTGAAGAGGAGAGGAGAGGAGAGCGGAAAGGTAGCAGAAGGCGACCTTGCTGTCTTGGGTCCGCAGCCTGGAAAGCTTGAGATCTCCTCCTTCACTTTCTCGCTCGAAGCCTCTCGAAGATGCTCAAGGCTGATCTGCAAGCAAGTCAGTAGAAGCGGGAAGATGAGCAGGTGCAGGTACAGAGAGCAGAGAGGAGGAAGAAAAGTGGAAATAGAGGTAGAGGTAGAGATAGAGGTAGAGGTAGAGGTAGAGGTAGAGGTAGAAGTAGAAGCAGAAGCAGAAGTAGAGGTAGAGGTAGAGGAGGTAGAGGTAGAGGTAGATGTAGATGTAGAGGGAAAGGGAGAGGTAAAGGGAGAGGTAGGAGCAGAAGCAGAAGTAGAGGAAGAGGTAGAAGTAGAAGTAGGAGAGCCACCTTGCCATAGTTGCGGAGGAGAGTAGAGCAGATTCTGTGAATGCGCTCTGCCTTGATCTTTGCCAGCCCACCCATACGTATGCCTAAATGATACTTGCCATGAGAACAGGAGAAAGAGGAGGTGGAGAGGGGAAGAGGAGGAGGAGGAGGAAAGGAGAGGATAAGGAGGGAGAGGAAGAAAGGGAGGACGAGGAGGACGAGGAGGGAGGAGGGAGGAGCAGACGAGGGGCAAGAGGAGGAGACTTACTTTCTTCGATGTCGGGGATGGGGGCAGCGTAAACATCTTCCCAGGTGGGGAACCTAGGAGCAGTCAGGACCAGAGGTCAGGAGGGAGAGAAAGAGAGGACGACAAGGATGAGGAGAAGGACGGAGGGAGGGATGAGGAGCAGGATGAAGAGAAGGAGAAGAACGGAGGACGAGGAACGCAGAGCAGGACGTGGAGGGAGGAGGAGGAGGGGGTCGCAGTGTGGTGGTGGTGGCGGAGGAAAAGGAGGATCAGGAGGCAGCACTTGCTCTTCAACGATGCGAAGCTTGCGGTCGAGTTCTTGGATGTGGTGTTCTGGGAGAGGATCGTGCCTGATGATGTTTCACATGCAGTCCTCTAGCCACCTTCCTCTTTCTTCCATCAAACTTCTACTTCCTCCCCACCTCCCCCCCTTCCCTCAACTCCGCGTTCTCCCACTCCTTACCCATCCAACCCCGTTCCTTCCCCCCCTCCCCCCCCTTCCCTCCTCCTGCTCATTCTCGTCCTCGTCCTCGTCCTCGTCCTCGTCCTCGTCCTCGTCCTTGTCCTCGTCCTCGTCCTCGTCCTCGTCCCCTCCCCTCCCCGATCTTCTATTTTGCTTACAGACAAGGGAGTCCATGACCGACTGGTCCCTCGTCTGCTCCGGCTGCTTCCGCTCTCCGTGGATAGCTGAAAGTTCACTGGATCCGCTATCAGTCAGGAGGAGGAGGAGGAGGCGGAGGAGGTAGGAGTTGACGAAGGCGAGGCAGTTGACGAAGGTGAGAGAGGACAAGCGAGATTAGAAGAGGAGGGCAGTGTGGGAAGAGGGCGAGAGGATAAGGGAGGATACGGGAGGATAAGAGAGGTCAGGAGCAGCAGGAGGTCGATAAGAGGACCAGAAGATTGTCCAGCTGCTCACCGGCAGAGGAGCTCACAGTCTTCTGGAGTAGGTCGATCCCAGCCAGGGAAGACAGGGGAGGTTTGTGAAGATGATTTGATATCCTCCTTCGCTCCTCTATCCCCTTCTTCCTTCTTCACCCCTACATCCCCTTCCTCCTTCTTAACCTTGACCTTCTTCATGCCCTTGATATCTGCCTCTTTCTTGACCTCTACTCCCCCAGAGTCCTCTTGTTTCCGTTTCCTCCTCCCACTAACTACCTTCTCCTCCGTCTCCTGCACCTCTCCCATCCTCTGAGAAGCAAAATCATCTTGCGCCTCTGTCTTGATCTGAACATTCATATGATCAACAACTTGCTCCTCAACTTTGACGTCTAGGTCGCCTTCCGCCCGTTCCTCCTCCCGTCCCCGTCCCCGTCCTCGTCCCCGTGCTTTCCCTCCCCCTCTTTGACGGGATTCTTCATGCTCTCCTCCTTCTCTGGATTCAGACGTATCATCCTCCGCTCCCCTGCCCCGTCCTCGTCCTCGTCCTCGTCCTCGTCCTCGTCCTCGTCCTCGTCCTCTCCCGCTTCCTCGTCCTCTCCGCTTCCGTCTTCGTCGGGGAGACTGCGGGAGCGGAAGGGACATATCCAGTCTGCCTCAGAATCATCGTTAGAACAAAAGAAAAGACAGCAATTCTCGAATTGAATTGAGTTGAAACTGCTGTCCTTCCCTTGCACGCTCTTTCGACCCCCCGAGCATGTTGTCGAGAACTATGCCGCTCGCAGCCGCTCGCCTCCTCCCCCTCCTCCTCCCCCTCCTCCTCCCCCTCCTCCTCCTCCTCCATCTCCGTTCGCTTCCACTTCATCGAGGAGCCCCATCCCGGCAACCCTGGCGGGAGGGGGTCAGGCAAATTCAGTTGCAATGGGATTCGGTCACCCAAGGCAACTTCACGGATCAGACGCGTCCTCCCATGCCCGAGGACCCTGCTCGCCTCGTCGCCATGGCCTCGCAGTTTCTCAACCTCCACTTCCCCAACATTTCCTCCCTCCTCCCGTCCATCAACTCCTCCTCCTTCGTCCCCCTCAACGCCTCCGGCCCCAGGATCGGTCTCAACCTCGCTCCTGCCATACCGCCAGGGATCGGCATGACCCTGCATCAGTCATCGCACAACTGTCGGTAGGCAGCACCATGTAGTGAGGAGGGACGAGGGGCTGACACTGTTCAGGGTGCTGGACGAGCCGCATTTACCAGACAGCGTGTGGGTATGCCAGTACGAGAACCAGGGTCAGAGCATGTTACAGGTAGCAGAAGAGGAGAGGGAGAGGAGAGGGAGAGGGAGAGGGGGAGGGGAAAGGGGAAGGGGAGGGGGAGGGGGAGGGGGAGGGGGAGGGGGAGGGGGAGGAGGGGAGAGGGGAGAGGGGGGGAGGGAGAGGGCGAGAGACCTGATCCATTGTTCCTAATGCAGTTCGTCGCAATTCATCGCTTCAACCAGGTTACTCCTCTGCTTCTGCTCGTGCTCGTGCTCGTGCTCGTGCTCGTGCTCCTTGTCCTCCTGCTCCTGCTCCCCCTGTTGCTTCCTCCTCCTCTGCCTGTTCTTTCTCACCTTCTACCTCTTTCCTTCCTCCTCTACTTCTCTCCTTCCCATTGATCCGATTCGACGTCAGAGAATCGCTTTCGACGTCCCGGGCACGTTGGATGACGCGCGTGCTGCGGTATCGCCGAGTCTCCTGCGAATTCACGATACTCTCTTCACAGGTTCAATGCTTCCTGCTGACATCTCCTGCGTACTCTTCCTTCTCCTCTCCTCTCCTCTCCTCTCCTCTCCTCTCCTCTCCTCGTCTCGCTCCCGTTTCCCTCCCTCTCTTCCACTTTTGATCCTCAAGAAACCTTCAGGTCTTGTTCGCAAGGCGAAGTCCGAGGCTGTTGACTCGCTCCCCGTCCTCCACTGGCCGGAAGCTCCGAGACCAAACGAGTCCTCCCCTCTCGTCAACCAATCTGCTCCTCCCCTACTCAACCAGTCTGACCCGCAATGTGCCATCTGCTGCGAGCAGCAGGAGGATGGACAGGTTTCACATGTCCCTCCTCCTTCGTTGCCCCCTCCCTCATCGTTCCTCCTCCCCCGTTCCTCGTTGTATCTCTCTCCTCTCGCTCTCCTCGCTCCCATACACTTCGCTTTCCGCCTCTGACGTCGTCGCAGCTTGTTGCTTGGCTACCCTGCGGTCATAACTTTCACGACGAGTGCCTCAAGCCATGGCTGGAGAGAGCAAGCACCTGTCCCTCCTGCAGGTAGTTCCTTCCATCTCCATCTCCATCTCCATCTCCATCTCCTGCTCCTGCTCCTGCTCCTGCTCCTGCTCCTGCTCCTCTACCACCTCCTGATCCGCTCCTCTTCCTCTGCCACGTGCTGCAGCTCCTCCTCCTGATGTGCAGGATCCTTCTGCTCATCCACATATTTGTGCTCCTCCTCTTCTACTCTTCTCCTCCCTGCCCCCCTCCGTCTCTCCTTTTCCTCGACCACCACCTCCGTCTCCTCGTCCTCCAACTAGCCTACCTGGCTGGTTCATCCTCCCAGGGTCACCGTCCTCGCAGGTTCACCCTCCCAGCTGAGCTCCACCCGCTGGAGAGTGAGCAGGCGGATGAGGGTCTACCACCAGAGGGCGACATATTTCAGAATGACCTCCTGGGCTCGATGATGGGCATGGACGGCACGAGACCGCACGTGCACTTTCATAGTGAGATCGCGTGGATAGAGGTAGATCACCTCCTCCTCTCTCGCCCTCGTTCCTCCCGTCTTCCTCTCTCGTTCCTCTCCTTTCTCTCTCTTCTCTCTTCCTCTCCTCTCCTCTTCCTCTCCTCTCCTCTCCCCTCCTCCGTCTCTGTTCTCTCTCTCTACCCTGTGTTCTTTTCCCTCTCGCTCTCTTCTCCTCTATTTTCTCATCTCCTTCCGTCCGCCCCTCTGCCATTCTTCTCGTCTGTTTCTGCCGTTGACACTTGGGGCAGGGGCAGGCAGCGTGGCGTTGCTCTTCTCCGGGATGTGTTGCATCGTCTGAAAATGTGATGGCATGCATGCCATCATCATCACCACCATCGTCATTGTCATTGTCATCGTCATCGTCATCGTCATCGTCATCGTCATCGTCATCATCATCATCATCGTCATCATCATCATTATCGTCATCGTCATCATCATCGTCATCATCATCATCATTATCGTCATTGTCTTTGTCATCTTCATCGTCATCGTGATCGTCGTCATAATCACCACTACCATCACTGGCCGCTTTCTCTTCTCTGCTCATCTCCTACTCATCTCTACTTCTGCAGGCTCCCTGTTGCGAACAGCACGGGCGTCACTTTTTTTGCAGTATAACCGGTCTGACTTCCGCCCCCTCCTCTTACCTCCTCTTTAATCCTTGCTCCTCCTCTTACCTCCTCCTTACCTCTTCCTTACTACCTCCTTACCTCCTCGTTACCTCCTCCTTACCTCCTTGCTCTTCACCTCACCTTCCACTTTATTCATCCTCAGCCTCTAACGACCTTCTACAGGGTGTAATCACACGCTCTGCAACGCGTGCTTCAGCATCTTCAGGTCACCTCCCCCCCCCCCTTCTCCCAACCTCACTTCTCCTGTTCCTCCTCTTCATCGCCTTCCCCCTCCTCGTCCTCGTCCTCCTCCTCTTCTGTCTCTCCTGAAGCTGTTCGTCTCCTCCTCTTCTCATCTCCTCACGCTCCTCATGTTCTTTCTCCAGGCGGACCTGCACTCAAGTTAGCATCAGTCGTAGCATCGAGGAATCGATCGTGAGGACCCAAGAAAGTCCAGCTACCTCCAACGTGGCGAATGGAACCCAAGAAGTTGGGGAGGCAGAAGCAGCGCAAGGTAGTGGTGTGGTTGGGATGATGACGATGACGATGGTGACGATGATGATGACGACGACAACGATGATGATGATGATGATGATGATGAGGAGGAGGAGGAGAGGAGGAGGAGGAGGAGGAGGTTGAGAATTGACTGGCTTCTCTAGCAGGTCAGCCTGAGGCGATGCAACTGGATGGAATTCAGGGGACGCAACAACAGCAGGAAGAGAGACAGAGGGAGGGGCAGGAAGAGTTCAGGCAGCAGGAGGAGGCGGGCGAGAGGCAAGCGGAGCACCAAGGGGAGGAAGAGCATCAGCCGCCGCCGCCGCCGCAGCAGCAGCAGCAACAACAACAGCCTGAGCAGCCGCAGCCTGAGCAGCAGCAGCAGCTGGAGCAGCAGCAGCAGCCTGAGCAGCAGCAGCAGCAGCCTGAGCAGCAGCAGCAGCAGCAGCTGGAGCAGCAGCAGCCGCAGCTGGAGCAGCCGCAGCAGCAGCTGGAGCAGCAGCAGCAGCAGCAGCCTGAGCAGCAGCCGCAGCCTGAGCAGCAGCAGCAGCAGCAGCAACCAATATTGCGGGAGGAGGTGACATTCTTTCAGGGGGGGCAGGAGCTACTTCAACAGCTTGCCCTGGGTCAGCTCCAGCCGCAGCAGGTGATGATAACGGGGATGACGAATACCCAGCCTCTCCCGCTTTTGGAGCCTCTTCATCGTGATTTGTTCATCCATCAACAAGTCCCTACTTCTCTCCCTCCTTCTCTTCCTCTTCCTCTTCCTCTTCCTCTTCCTCTTCCTCTTCCTCCCTCTCAGCAGCCCGGACAGCTTCATGTGCATCAAGTGGTATATCAGCAGCACCTACACCCGCATCCGCACCCGCACCACCACCATCATCACCAGCATCAGTGTCAGCATCATCAGCATCAGCATCATGAACAGCAGCAGCAGCAGCAGCAGCAGCAGCAGCAGCAGCAGGATGTGGTGGAGCAGGAGCAGCAGCAGCAGGTGGAGCATCATCAGCATCATCAGCATCATCATCATCATCAGCATCAGCAGCAGCAGCAGGCAGCTCCAAGGGTCGCTGGCGTTCCTCGTTCTCTGGGTGACTCGCTGGGGGTTCAGTGCGAGGATGAGACGAGGACGGGTAGGGAGGTAGGAGGAAGTCAAGGCAGCGGGGAGCAGGATCAGCAGGAACTAGCGGCAGCCTCGACCGTATCGACTGATCAGACAGATCGACCGCAAGCAGTGGAGGCAGGGATGAAGAACGTGTCTGCCGAGCAGGAGGCGGCGGGCAATGAGAACATTCCTCTTCCTCTTCCTCCTCTTCCTCTCAGATCCCCGAGAGATCTCCGAGCTCGGCGAGTCCTCTTGCGAGCAATCAACGATTATCTTGCACAGCTCGCTGACGAGGACGAGGACCCAGCGATCCGGATCGCCAGTTACGCGCTGAAGCAGCGCAAGGAGGAGGGAGAGGAGGATGATGCTGAGCCCATCCCCCTAGAAGCTATGCTAGAGCTGTCGAGGAGCGCGCAGGAGCGGGGGGAGGCACTGAAGGAGGACGGCAACGAGGAGCTGAGAAGAGGACGTCTGAGAGAGGCGAAGGACCTCTACCTGCGTGCCCTTGCCGCATGCCCATCGGGGCCAACGGCGAGAAGCTACCTCGTCAACTTGGCGATCGTCTGCTCCAGGCTCGGGGAGTGGGAGGATGCGCTGCGGCACGTCGAGCGAGCGTTGGAAGCACACGAGGGCTACGTGAAGGCAGAGGTCCTGCGATGTCGCGTGCTCATGAACCTCTGGAGGGTGGAGGAGGCGGCAAGGGCGAGCCAGCGCTTCTTGGATCGCCTGAGCGGGACGGGCAGGGAGGAGGAAGGGACCTCCATGCGGGAGCTGCAGCGCAAGATCCGCTTCCACCAGGTCCTGAACTCTCGCGGGTTCACCGTGGACTTGAGCAAGAGCCCAGCAGTGCTGCGGGGCTTTGACAGCATGAGCGCGTGCGTGGTGATGTTCAACGCGGCGTACGGGAGCGCATGGAAGTTCTTCATGGGAGGAAAGAGCAGCCTGACCTTCAACTTCACCCTCTCCTTCCTCCCCCCCCGCGGCCTCTGGCTCCACGTGCGGCACCTTGCGGCGGCAGGAGGGGAAGAAGGGATAGAGGAGCCCAAAGCGATGCTGGACGTGAGGGTCAACGAGCGGTACGTCAAGCACCTGCACACCCTGAAGCCTAGCCATCACTTCGAGGAGGAGAGCTGGAAGATCCCCAGCTCGATGCTCAAGAGAGGCGCAAACAGTCTCTTCATGCGGTACCTCGACGGGTCCACCCATCACTACTGGATCAACCACCTCCTCCTCTCGCCGTCCTCCCTCCCTCCTCGCCCCACCTGAGCTACTTGCCCCCTTTCTCGAGATCCTGCAGCTGCTGCAAGAGGTCCTGCTGGAACGAGCGCTTGTACCCGCTGCTAACAGTGTGGAGCTGGGACAAGGTCAGCGCGGGAGGAGCACGAGGAGAGCACGAGGAGGTACCAGTGCGTGCAGGGACTCGAAGTGCTTGCCAAGGAAGTGGTCGTCTCCGCTGGTACGCTGGAGGAGGAAGCCGTCTTCAGAAACCTGCGCTGCTCCTCAGGAACTGAGCCCGGACAAGGAAGGAAGATAGAAGCGCGGAATCAAGGACAAGAACGAGGAGGAGGAGGAGGAGGAGGAGCAGCAGCAGCAGCAGGGGAAGGAGACCGATATGTCGAGCTCCTGCCCCTCCAACGTGATGACGCGGAGGACATGCTCGTCCTTATCGCTCCTCGCCGCCTCCTTCACCCTCGCGCTCCTCGCGCGCTGAAGCTCGCGGAGACTCTCGCTGATCTCCCTGCTAGAACCTCAACACACCCTTATCACAGTCAAGTAAAACATACCATGAAATGAAATCTCCTCCGCCTCCTTCTCCTCCTTCTCCTCCTTCTGCCTCATCGCTTACTACCGCATGGCTCACACTCCCTCGCAAAGCAACCCCTGCTGCCTCCTGTCCTCCGCCTCGCATGCCTGACCACCTCGTCGTGGAGAGAGGCAGGCGACTGGCATGTGCAGACCACGCGGCCATGGCGATGAGGAAAAGAAGAAAACGCATCTGTAGCGGAGGAGGAGGGGAGGGGAGAGAGAGGAAGAGGAGAGGACGGTGCGAGCTCAGGAGATGAGAGATGATGAGAGGGGAGGACAGGACAGGGGAGGGAAAGAGGGTGAGCGGAGGGTTGGGGAGCGAATGGCGTGATAGGAAGTGAGCGGGAGGGGAGAGGAGGGGAGGGAGGGGAGGCACAAGAAGAGGAGGGAGGTGGTAGGAGATCAGACGACAGGAACGGGTTCGTAGGAGCAGCAGCAGCAGCAGCAGCAGCAGCCGTTGAGGCAGGAGGGTGGGGGAGGTGGGGGGAAAGGGGGATAATAATAGTGGAGGAGAGGATTGTCGGGGAGGGAAAGAGGGCGGAAGTATGAAGCGAGGACATGAGGGAGCCGACGATGAGGAGAGGACGAGGATGGGAGGGAGGAGAGAGGGAGGAGGAGCAGGAGGAGCAGGAGGAGCAGGAGGAGCAGGAGGAGCAGGAGGAGGAGAAGGAGGAATGCGCAAGTTCGGCCTGGAGGATGGAGACGGTGTGCTAGAATTCGAGCTGGTGCGAGGAGAGACATGCGCGACGAGGAGGCAGGCGAGGTATCCTCTGAAGCTGATGAGCGTGGGATCTACGGAGAGGAGCAGAGCGGCTCAGGAGAAGGGAGGAGGGCGAACGTGCGCCTGGGTCTTCATGCTCGGCCATGGCGGGGGGATCGTGAGCGGAGACAGGATGAGGATGAGGGTGGATGCGCGGGAGGAGAGCACAGCGATCATCACAACTCAAGCATCCTCCAAAATCTTCCAGAGCATCCACGGCAAAGTATCGAGGTCTCCTGCTGCTGCTGCTGCTGCTGCTGCTGCAGCTGCTGCTGCTGCTGCTATTCCCCTCCCTTCCTCCCCTCCTCCTCTCCCCCACTCCCATCCACACCATCGTCTGCTCCTCGTCGTTGCTTCGTCCTCACTTGCGGCCAGACAGGGGATGGTGGCGAAGGTTGAACATGGTGCTCTCCTGGCCATCATCGTCGATCCTGTGGTTCCTTATGCTCGCTCTCGCTACATCCAACGGCAGGTAGCGCAGGAGGAGCAGGAGGAGCAGGACTGAAGTTTGCAAGTAGAAGTTCTTCATCGCGGGAAAGCGAGAAGGAAAGAAAGCAGGATCCCTCCTCCTCATCGACTGGTTCACTTCGGGGTGATCTCCTTTTTCTCCCTCCCTCCTTCCCGCGTCACCCTCCCCCTCCCCCTCCCCTTTCCTCCTCCTCGTCCTCGTCCTCGTCCTCGTCCTCGTCCTCGTCCTTTCTCTCACCCTCCTTCCCTACCCTTGTATAATTTTCTTCTATGTTCTGCTCCTTCTGGCCTTCTGGCTTCTCCTAACGAAGGAGAGCAGGCGACATGCTTGTGGAGAAGTCTGGGAAGCAGACTACCTCGAGACCCACAACGATGTCAGTTGCTGCTGCTGCTGCTGCTGCTGCTGCTGCTGCTGCTACTGCAACTACCACCACCGCTCGTGCTCCCGCTCGTGCTCGTGCTCGTGCTCCTGCTCGTGCTCCTGCTCCTGCTCCTGCTCCTGCTGCCCTGACTCGTCCTAGGTCTTCGTGGACGGGCAGCTTCTGGTGCATGACGCCATAGTGCTTGACAAGTAGCGATCGAGCGAGAGGGAGGGATGAAGCATGACGGAAAGGAACAGGGAGGATAAGAGCGGCCTGACTGTCATGGAGAGGATGCTTCCTTTCAACTGCTATGCCAACGTGAGCTATTCCATCCTCCTGCTCCTGCTCCTGCTCCTGCTCCTGCTCCTGCTCCTTCTGCTCCTCTTCCTCCTCCATCCTTCTGTCTCCCCGCTGCTTCCAGATCATCTCATGTCATTTCAGGTCATTTTGCTGGGTCCTCGCCTCGCAAGCATCTCTTCCCGTATCCTCAGCGTAAGAGATGCGGAGGAGGAGGGGAAGGGGTTGGAGGAAGAGGAGAGGGCGGAAGAGAGGGCAGAGGAGGAGGAGCAGGAGGAGGAGGAGGAGGGTAACGAGGCTGCAGGACGTCTCCGAGCGGGAGCAGGAGGTCTTGGAACGCACGGGGAAGGTTTGCACATCCGTGCTGCGGCAGAGGATAAAGATGAGTTGCCAGGGGCAGCGGGAGGAGGAGCGAGACGGTTGGGACGGCCTCGCATGCTCGTGCGTCTGTTGTGCTGGAGGAGGAAGAGGGGTGAACATGTCACAGGGCTAGCAAGCTGGGAGAGGACGGAGTCTTCCTTCGGGTCTCTTGCCGACCTCAGCTAGTTTCCCAGCTGACGGGCAGGCGGGCAGGTGGCAGGAAGAGGCTACATGGACGTCGAGGGGTTTCTCCGACACGAGGTGAGAACCTTGAAACCCTACAGCTGGACCCTGACGGGCTTGTAGCTGGACGGGCTGGTGGAGGAGTGCGGGGAGGAGCTCTGGAAGCGGAAGTATTCATACCACTAGGAGGAGGAGGAAGAGGGGGAGGAGGAGTTGAGAAGCTGCTTCGTAAGCTCCTGCTCAATCATCAGTCTCGATTCCTCCATAAACACACCCAGCAGACCCTCAGCTCCCGGGACGCAAACATGTCGAGTACGCCCGCAGGGCTCAGCCTGCCTGCCTGTCAGCTGAAGGCAGAGGGTGTGGGGAAGAACGACCAGCAAGAGAAGGCCCGAGGGAACACGCTTTCCGACTCCACCAGCAAACCCCCAGCAGCGAGGAGACCAAGGGCCTCGAGCTGAGAAACTGTCAGAGGGTCGGGTGGCGGCGAAGCCAGCAAGCACCTGCTGGGGTTGCAAGGAGACTGTCTCTCCCGCCAGCAGCTGGTCCAGCTGCAGCCTATCCAGCTGGACCACTCGTTGACGGACGTGAGGAAGTATCTACTGTGCATCAGAATCGTCTTCCTCCTTCCCCTTCACTATCCAGCCCGCATCGCATCTTCATCCTCTGCTTGCCCTGCTCTCTCTCCCCCCCCCCCCCATGCCCCCACTTACTCTTGTCATCGACTCTTGTACGATCCGATCCACACATGCAGCTCCTGCTTCCCACTTGGTCCTCGAGTATCGCTCAAACGCACACGCCCCAGCCTGAGAGCAGCTGAGAAGGAGGGGGGAGGAAGAGGAGGCAGGACGCAGAGCAGGAGCAGGAGCAGGACCTGAATGACTCGCAGACCAGGAGAAGTTTCAAGAACCTGGGCGACTCTTGGAGAGACTAGGAAGATCCTTCGAGCATCTGTTGGGACCTCAGGAAATTCTGCTGCTCCCCCTTCCTCCCTCCTCCTCACCTTCTCGCTTGTTGGTCAACAGCTGATCATTGAAGGACGTGAAATCGATCCCATAGAAGTCTGAGATCTGATCAATCGTCAGACACAGGGCGCATCCTCCCCCTCTTTTCCCTCCTGCCTCCTGCCTCCTGCCTCCTGCCTCCTGCCTCCTGCCTCCTGCCTCCTGCCTCCTGCCCAACAACAACCCTCCTGCTTCCACTTCCGTCCTCTCCTTCCACAACCTTGTTGACTCTTGCGCTGCTCTTGCTCAGCACAAAGGGACTGAAGTCCTCCTGCTCCTGGAAGAGCGTCTGGCGCTTCTCCCTCCTCATCAACACGGACGCTGCCGAAGGAGTTCTCTTCTAGTCCAGCAGTCACCGGCTGTTTCGAAGACAACCCCCCACCTTCTCTTCCTTGATGTCCTCCTCCTTCTTCAGGATCGCAACGAAAAAGCCTCCTGTAGCCGCTGTGAGCACATCTTTTTTTGCCTCCTCCCTGTTTCTTCCTTTCCCTTCTCCTCCCCTTCCTCCTTCCTCCTCCTCCTCCTCCTCCTCCTCCTCCTCCTCCTCCTCCTCCTCCTCTTGTACCTGTGTCCTGAGCATGCGGAAGGATCCGTGCACAGCGATCAAGATGCATCCAGGCTGACTCTCTGCAAGTAGACTTGGCGATAGTAGAGGAACAGCGAGGGTTCCTACTCTGAAGTGGGAGGTTGCAAGGAGGAGGTAGACGAGTGGTTTCCCAGCACGACCCACGTCTGCAGCCCCTGCAGCAGCTTCACTTCCTTTCCCGACTCCTCCTTCCCAACCTTGCAGCACTTCAGACCCGCCAGCTGAGACCTCAGCTGGGAGTCCTCGGACCCGTCATGCACGTCCACCAGCGAGAGACTCCCGTTGCTCTCCCGCAGGAGGGCAGCGACTACCGCCTCATCCTGCAGCAGGAGGGAGGACGGGCGTCAGCGAGCTCGAGGATGAGGAGAAGAAGCATCAACACCTCGAGGGGATTCATGGAGCAGGTGGAGTAAGATAGGAGCCCTCCGGGCTTGAGCAGCTGCGCGAGAGTCATCGGACGAGTCAACCGATCGCCTGCTTCACCTGCGACCCCCTCCTCGCGATCTGCAACTGCAGGCCGTGCATGGAGGCAGAGGTCCGCACACTCCAAGTTTGCCAGATCTTGGGAGCCTGAGAGAAGGGTAACAGGAGGGTAACAGGAGGGGGTGAGGATGGAGAGGAGGGGG